CGGCCCGGGGAGACCCCCGCTGCCCGGCCGTCTCTTTGTCTCCTCCAGGAGGGAAGGCGTTCGGCTTGCTCAAAGCCCGGCAGGAGAGGCGGCTGGCCGAGATCAACCGGGTGAGTACGTGCGGCCCCTTCGCTCCTCTTGCGCTCCCGCCGGGGCAGCTTGCGAGCCGTCGGAGCTGCGCGCCGCGGGTCCCACCTCCTGCGGACGCTGTGTCCCCTTCCTCTTTTTTCCGCCCCCCTCGGGGCTCCCCCCAATTTCCTCCCTGCGCCTCCAACTCCAGGTAAGGCCCCTCCACCCCCTCCACTCCGCTCTGGTCCCGGCGTCTCAGGTTGCAAGTTGTTACTCCTGCGCCGGGGAGGTAGGGCCCGGCCAGGAGCTCCCATACCAGCCGGGCCTGGGGCTCCCCAGAAGCCCGCCTGGGACCGGTCACAGGGGTTTGGCGCCCGAAGGGACCCTCAATGTCTCCAAGCAGTCCAAGTTTTCCAGAGGTGGAAGGGAGGCCCAGAGAGGCCAGGCGGCTGCCCAGCAAGTGTGTGGGTCAGGCTGCTGGTAGCACCCTGGCCTCCAGACTCGCAGGCCAGTGCCCTCTCCACCATAGGAATTGCTGGCCTCCTGCCTGCCCCCACGCCCACCCTCACAACTCTTTTCCACTCCAACTTTTTCCGGAAAGGCTCCCCTACAGCCTCGATGCTTTTCTTGCGGGCGCCCCGGTGGATTTCTATAAAGGCCATCCGGCTGTTGCCAGGCACACAGTGGGAGCCCCATAAACGTTTGTGTAATGAACAGGTAGGTCTGGAAGATAAGAGAGTTTCAGGACCTGCCTGGGTTGGCCACAGCTCAAAGGCCACAGCCAGGGCCTTCAGAGTCCCGCATGACCTGGTCTCCGTCACTTCCCAGCTCTGTGGGTCACCAAGGACCTCTCCTCCTGAAGCCAGGGCCGCCCTGAGGGCTCAGCGAGGGAAGGCATGCAGTGTGCTTGGTCTAGCACCTCACACAAGGGAAGACCTCCGTGGATGGTACTAAAATTATGTCCAGAGGCGGACGTCTCCCAGGTTCCTTCCTAACTGGTTGCAGAGGCATGCCCACTGAAACGAGGCAGGACATTCCCCCTGCTGGCTCCCTCCGGCCACTGAGCACCCAGGATTTGAGCCCAGCTCTGAGTCCCAAATCAGGAAGCTGGTGGGGTCAGCAGGGTCCTGGGGAGGCTGTGGGGTGGGACCAGGCACTGTGGTGTGGTTGCAGTATTTTGGGGAGAGGGGGACGGGCTTGTAGTCTGGATTTCCACTTTGGTTTTCGTGGATTGTCTAAAACAAGACAGCTGGTCTGATTTCCACTGGCTATAGGAATCTCGTGGAGGACTCTGGGAACCCCAGGGTCCCTCATTGCCATCCTTACCCTGCCTGTTGGTGTCATCTTGAGCACTGCCAAAAGGGAGCCTGGATGTCTGGCTGGGCTCTCAGGGGTCCAGGCTGCTGGGCCCCCTCCCAGTTCACTCTGCAGCCCACAGGCCTTGGCTGCGCTTGCCCTCTGGACAGGAGCCTGGAACCCTGACCTCATACAGCCCCCTGGGCCACTGGGCTGGGCAGGTTCCAAGCTGGCTGAATCCAACCACAGCCAGCAGGACCCTGAGCCAGAGACAGCTGGGGATGGGGAGAGGTGACTTCAGTTGGACAAACCAGAGGAGCTGAGCATGTGGGACTTTCCGTGCCAGCCCCGCCCTTGGAGGGGGGAAGATTGTGGGGAGGCCACAGAGTTGTTTTGGGAGGGCAACTGACTTGGCTCAGAAAGGGGTGGGTCTGTGCCTCCCAAGAGCTGGACTGGACAGCACTGGGACTAGAGAGGGTGAGCAAGAAGGGGCTGTGTCTACCTACCTTGGGACCCTGGTGCCCAGAGAGGGCAAGCATCTGGCCAAAGCCATACAGAAGCCAGTGGCAGAGCTTGCAATCTAGCCTCCTTTCCCTGCCCAGACGCTATTCTGAGACCACCAGGCTCTCGGCCCCTGGAGGGAGGAATCTCCAGGATCAAACCAGAAACTTGAGCTGCTTCCCACCGCAGTAGGTGAAGGTGGCCCCACAATGGTTTAGAGTCATGAAAGGAAGGAAGGTGGGGGACAGAGTGCTGTTGGCTCTGTGACCTTGGGCAAGGCTCTTGAGAACGTGGTAGTCAGGCTGTTGTGATTTTGCAGCGATAGAATCTATGTAAAGCACATAAGGAGAGCTGGCTGCTGTCATGATTGTTATCATCGGCTTGTTTAGGGCTTAAAGGTGCAGGGAGTGGAAACCAGGGCTGCTTTGCTGTGGCCCCTGCTGGCCACCCAGCCTGGGCCAGACTCCTTCATCAGGAAGAGCCTCAGTCTTCCTCTACCTAAAATGGGAACAGTGGTCCCTGCTCTGCTCCTACAGCAGTCAGTGGAGATGCGCAGATGAAGCTCTTTGCAGACTCTGAGGGAGGCACTGTGTTTGAGGATCTGAGTCCGTTTCACCCATGGCCATGGCCATTGTGGAGGTGCCCTGGAGTGGGCAGATTCTAGAAGGAACCATGTTGACAGCCCAGACTGGCCTTCCTTTGGGGTTCAGCTTCGCTGACCCACTGGAGTGGGGCTTCTGGGAGGGCTGGACTGAGCAGTGCCCCCATGGAAGCAGGGAACCAGGAAGGACAGGGCTTCATGCTCTCAGCATGTGCTCTATACCGCTGTGGCTGCTGCCTGGGGCAGAGCCCAGCCAGGCTGGCAGTTCTGGGGGCTTCTAGGCTCAGCCTCCCAGTTCCTTTTGAGGCCTTTCTCCCCCCACCCCCCAGGGTGGGCCAGCTTCCAGAGGGCAGCAGAGCAGCTCAGTCCTAGCTGTTACTATGAGGGATTCAGGAGTGAAAACAGACAGAGACTTGGCCCCTGCTGGCCACCAAGCCTGGGCCAGACCCCTTCATCTGGAGAGACCCTGGCAGAGCTGTATGGAAATGCATTTTTTTTGGTTTCATTGTAGCTTTTGCTATCATTTTCTGAGCCCTTGGCATGTGCCAGGCAGTGTGCCAGGTGTGCTTTGGGCAGTATCTCCCTGAGTGCTCGCTCTAACCCTGTGAGTGTGGATTTCCAAGTTATAGAAAACAGGACTGAGAGAGGTTGAGTCAGTTGCCTGGGCTTAAACAGCCACACTTGAGCCTAGCCTGTTCTCTCAATAGCTTGATTGGGTCTCCAGTGTGGTGCCCACCCCCAGCTCTGTGCCGTGTGTGTGTGTGTGTGTGTGTGTGTGTGTGTGTGTGTGTGTGTGCGCACACACGCATTCTCCGCACTACTGGAGCAGGCAGGACAGTCGCANTGTGTGTGTGTGTGTGTGTGTGTGTGTATGCGTGCGCACACACGCATTCTCCGCACTACTGGAGCAGGCAGGACAGTCGCGCACCTCCTACTCCCCCCACATAGCTGACATTCTCCAAGCCTTGATGGCATGGCAGGTGACCTCAGGCCAGCAGGCCAGCCTTCTATGGCAACAGAACACGTTCTCTCCAGCTTTGCACAGGTCCAGAGAGAAGTGGGGCTGGGTGGGTGCCGCTCAGGGTGCCCTTATCCTTGGGACTGCAGGGGACAGCGAGGCCGCAGCTGTAGCCGGCCAGAGGCCAGGATCTTTAACAGAATAACCCGGGGCATGCCTGGCGCTTGAACTGCATCATCTCACTGACTCCTGTCAAAGGAACGTCCGTCCGATTAGAAAGACGTGCGCCGAGAATGTGTCAGCATCGCCACAGGACACGGATTACTGGGCTTCCCATTCTAGAGATGAGGAAACAGAGGCTCGGCCAGGTGAAGTCACCTGCCCGAGGTCATCTGGCCAGGAAGTGGCACAGCCAAGCGAAGCGTCTGACTCCAGACACCGCCCATGGCCTGCCCTGGCCCCTGTCCACCAGGTGGCCATGGCCTAGCTGTGACACAGGCCTCTCTTGCTTATGTGGATAAAGATCTTTGGCCACTGTCCTGCCCTCCCAGCCCTCCTGGGTCGAATGAAGGGTACTCAGCGTTCCCTGTAGCATTTAGATGCCTCGTGTTATTTCAGGACCATGTGCCATCTGTACTGGGAAGAGCTGGGCAGGGCAGGCTGTGTGTCTCTGTCCAGAGGGGCATGTGTCCCCTGCCCCTCCCCAAGCAATGGGGGACCTCTGAGACCTGACCCAGGCACCACGCAGGTATGTCTTTTCCTGTGTACTGGCAGTGCCTCTGTGTCCCTGCCCAGGTGAATGTGCCAGGCTGGCATCACTGGGCACCCGTGTCTCTTGCCCTTCCTTAATATATTATAAGGGAGATGGTGATAAGCAGCCACGTGAGCCTCCGCGGATTCAGTGTCCTCACAGGTCTGGCCAGTCACGACCTCAGCGTGGCCGTGTCACAGGAAGCTAGAGATGGAATTTCTGCAGGGTCCGCTCCATTGGTGTCGGTGATGGGCTGTTTTTCTTCAGCTGCCCCATCTATTGGCGAGGACACAGCGTCCGGATGAGGCCCCAGGGCTACTGTGGGGAATGTGAGCCTGCTGTCCTTGCGGGTGCATGTTACAGGCTCCTTCTACGTGCCAGGCACCAGCCCGGGCATTTGTGGCCTGGTCCTGGCCCTTTAAGATCCTGTGGGCTGCGTCAGAGGCCCCATAGCCTGGTGTGCTACCGCCTGGCCTTGGGGTTTTTGCCCAGGGTTTCGGCCACCAGCCCCTTGGATGGCCTCCAAGATGGTGATATCTGCCCGCCCCACAATTCTGCTACAGCTAATACATAAAGACACGCCTGGAGGGCCAGGAGCAAGCATCCGGGAGCAGGTGCTAGAGGTACCAGCCCAGAAAGAGAGTTAAGTCTGGGGGAATTAAGCAGGAGGCGGGCATCGGAGGCCGCACACAGCAGGGCTGCCACCCTCTGCTCGTTTTGGAAATAGCCCCTCCCAGGCGTGAGCGTTTGGATGGGAGTCCTGGTGGGGGGAGATTTTGATGTGCATCCGAGGTTGTAAGGACCAAGGGGAGCAGCAGTGCGCAGGTGTGGCTGCCGGTGCTGTCTCCTAGGGCTGGGGTGGGGACAATCTGTCTCGTGTGGATGGCCTGTCGCTGCTAGGTCAGCCAGGTGTCTGAGGACAAAGCAGAGCTTGCCCTGGAGGAGGGATGGCCAGAGGTTCAAGGCTCACCTGGAGGGCTCTGGCACAATGTGGGACAGGGAGTTGTGGCCGGGTCACTTCTCTGCCCTTTCCCTGCTCACAGTTGTCTCTTTGGGTGATCCATGTGCGCAGTGATCATTGCTAACACGTAGTAAGGATCTGTGCAGTTAGCTTGTTTCATCCAACCCAAAGAGGAGATGCTGTTATTATGATCCCATTTCACAGATGAGGAAACTGAGGCTTTGCTACAGAGTGGGAAAGCAAGTTGCCCAGGGCCACAGAGCTAGTAAGTGCTGGATCTGGGATTTGAACCCAGGCAACCTGATTCAACAATCCTTCCCCGCCCCTCTGCCCCGCACACCCGGCACTCAGGGAGTTTACGTGAGACTTCTAGCCATTGTGGCTTTAGGCAACACCTGTCCCTTCTGAGGCCTCAGTTTCCCCTATTGAACAAAGAGGACAAACTGGATGCTCTGAGGAGACCCTTCCATGTTCTGCGACTGGGTGGATGTTTTAACAGCTCTGTCACCATCCCCCGGCCTTGCCTGTGGACTCTCTGACCTGAGGAGTGACTGCTGAGCTCACAGCTTCCTGTTTCCGGCCTCAGGCCCCTGCCTGCTTGCATTTCCTGGCTATCTTGGTGACCAGGCCACCAAGGCCCCTGAACTTGCCCCTCTGCATATCACAAGTCACTCTGAGCACCCCGCACACCTGACAGCACTTTCTGCAGCTGTAAAAACTTGTCATTTGGGACAGTGGGCTGGGG